TGGATGCCTTCCAAGCATTCGACGGGGGTTCGATTCCCCCCGAACGCAGATTTTCTTTTTTTTTTGCTCTCTGATTTCTATTTTCTGGTATCTGGTTCTTTGGGTTCTTTACTTGTTCCGACCAGTAAACGATCATTGATCATCTGGCCACCAACAGATTACAACAGTTGGCATTTGTCCAGTCTTCATTTTACACACACACCGTGTTGTGCATTACTAAACTACACTAAACTTTTTTCTCTGAATATACATATTTGTGACTCATCTGACCTTTCGATCAAATCAACCGAAACTTTCACATGTTTTTTTTTGTCAATCGATTCGATTTGATGTGTTTATTTGTTAGCCGCCTCCTTCTAATTATAATGGCATAATAGTCAATGTCAAGTTATGTATAGACAAATATTGAAGGATTATTATTTTTTTTCTTGTTATGATGAGAAGAGAGGTCATGATAGTTGACCTTTTCGGGTAGCTTTTGATTTCAATACTATATTTGATCCTGTTTCTTTTTCTTCGTTTTTTTTTCTCAAACATCTTCAAATCTCTTTTTATTCTTCAACATTCATCCTAAAAACCATCATCGATTATTATCTCAAATCTCGATTTTGTCTGCGTCTCCATAATTTCATATACTATCTCAGCCATTAAATGTCTGCAACAACATACCGAAAAACCGATTAAACCGAAAATCGCTTCGGTACGGTGAGCGGACAGGCAAAAAAGGTGTGAAAAATGAGGAGGAGAAAGATGAAAAGAGAAAAGGGGCCGGTTTGTGTCTGATTCATTTATGGCGCGCGGCACCAAAAAATATATATAGAAAGATGAAAAGAACAACTATATGAAACATTTTAGTGACGTCATTTTTCAGCATTTACTTTACTTTGCAGAAAACCCTCTTTACTCATGTTAAAGTACATCTACAGTAATCCTTTCCCGCGCGCGCTCGAAATGTCAGTTTTCTTTCTTTCTTTTGTTTTTGAAAACAAAAACTCTTTTTGTTCTTTTCTATGTGTCTTTTTAAGGTGTACACCTAGTAGTTACCTACAGTAATTTTTTTGTCGCCATGGAAAAATCTCCAAAAATAATATTTATCTAATGAATGAGAGAGAAAAAGATCGGAGATAAGAAAGTGCGCGAAGAAAAGTCATGGATATTTTATTTCATTTTCATTTCATTTAATTTTATAATATACATATATCTTTGATATTATTCTCAGGTTTTTAATTAATTTATTTTGTGTGTTTGCCCCCAACAAATTGATAATACAATTCAATTCTCTAATTGGCAACATTTTATCAAACAAAACGAGAGACTCTCATAAAATATTTATCAATTCACTTATCTACATATGTTTCGTACCATTTAGTGCACTTTTAGTTTTATGAGCCCTCGGTGAAACTTTTTGGAAAAGTTGAACTAAAAGAATAAGAGCCTGGAAATTATTTTCAGATTTCTAGGATTTTCTTACCTAGGGTTTCCAAGAGCTGAAACTGTCCAAAGTAGGGTTGGAAAAACAGTGTATTTGCGTACACGGATACACGCGCAGCCAAATACACGAATACACGGTACACGAATACACTGTACACGAATACACGGTTTTCTTCTCTTCTGAAGCAGTTTATAAAAAAGCGTGTATTCGTGTACCGTGTATTCGTGTACTGCGTGTATTCGTGTACCGTGTATCGAGCGCGTGTATTCGTGTATTTTTTTTCCAACCCTAGTCCAAAGTAATGTGCAACTGAAACTCTCATTTTCTCATCTGATGTTTTTTTTATCTACTTGGCCATCTGATTGTGAGCCAGGCTTCTCCCCCAACTTTCCTACGGTAGCCCTTGAGAATTCCGAAAATTAACCAAACTCAAATTTTCTTACCTCACAGTTCTCGGGCTCCGTGGAGCTTCCAAGGCTGGTTTCTTATACTACAAATCGTTTCAACTCCTTTTATTCTGATAAAAATAACTTTTTGATCTACTAGAAATGCAGAACATTTCTACAGCAATCATTGTTTTAAGTGTTTCCAAAATCTTTCTCCCGTAGACCTCTTAAAGTGTATAATTGTTTCACATCAATCCCAAAAATCATTTTTTGGTTGGAACAGTTGTTGTTTGCATTCAAGGTCAATTGGTTTATCATTATCATGGAAAAAAAGAGGAATGTGTACGATAATCAGCCGTGTGTGTGTGGTTTGAAAAAAAAACCTAATAGACGCAGCAAAAAAAATAGAAAGTTTTTCTGTTGGCGGCGCCATCTTATCGGTTATTTCTACCGTTTTTTGCATTCATTTTATTTGGCAACAAAAAAATGAATTTCTATTTTTGTTATTATTAAATTGGATTGTTGAAACTTTTCTATTTGCAGCTATTTGAACAGCTTTGTTAAATAAACGTGTGTGCTATTGTGAGTACTGTAGAATGATGCTGAAATTAAATTCTAAAATATTATAGCTCTCTATCTCTCTTTCTAATAGTTCATTTATCCTATCCTGTCTGCTCACAGAGAAAAGTGATCCTTTCCTTTTTCTTTCTCTTCTTTTTTTTCTTCTTCTTCATTTTTTTTGGCTGGTGTGTGCCCTCAGGGTGAGCCGCCTGGTGAGGAGCCATAAAACATAAAGAGACGAGGGTTTGCCCTTTTTTGTGTGTGTGTGTGTGCTCCGTCCGCTCCTCCAGTTTTTTTTCCGCGCAGCCAGAGAGAAAAAAAAAGAAAAAAAAAGAAGAAACCAATTTGGGAGCGTTTGTCTTCTGTTTTTTGTCGTGTTTTTTCTTGCATGTGCTTTTGATCATGATCATGATCATTTAATTTCTACGTCTTTTTTTATTCATCTTCTGATTCCAATTCCAATTCCCATAAGAACTGTTTCAATGATCTTCTCTTATTTATATTATATAACCTTGTTTATTCAATGGGCCAAATATTATTTGCACTTTTCTTTTCTTTTCGGCTTCCTTATACTTTTCGACACCTTTGCAAAAACTTTTTCCCGTTTTCCGTGAGAGTGTTATCAATTTTTTGCTAAAGAATATTTGAAATTTGGAAAACTCTCAGATTTTTTCTCAAAGAAGTTCAAATTCTCAATCACGATTCTGAAAACTATTTTTTTATTTATCTGAATTTTCAAAATTTTTGGGTTTTTATTCTTCGCTTTATTTTCCTCCACAGAAAGTCCATGTTGAAAATGCAAATTTCGGAATCTTCTGAAAATTTTTACATTTAAATCACGGTCAAACTCGGTCTGAGCCAGAGTACAACGACACTACGCGTGGAAACTTGAGAATTAGGCTCTCTAGATGCTGATCCTTGACAATTGAACTTTCTAGGCGTGGCTACTTGACATAGAAACTCTGAAGACGCGTTTCCATGCCGGAGTGGATGTCTAGACGTGGGTTCTATACAATTAGGTTATCTAGGCTCAGTCACTTGGCAACTAGACTTTCTAGGTTTCACCATTTGACACACAGGCCCTACGTTCACTCTCATCCGAGTCTCTTTGAAACATTCATAACTTCCAGGTTCTCAATTTCTAACCCACATTTTCCTACTGTGAAACTTCCATCAAGTTTCCAAAAAAAAACATGCAACACTGCCTTTTGATCCACAGAACTTAAGCTTAGCTACAGTACTCCTTCCATAGATTTCTCTCGATATTTCTAGGAATTCTCCTCACCCCATTTTTTTTTACAATCTGCCAGCCATTGGTAATCGCCTTTCTCCTCCTCTCTCCTGTTATTTTGGCAACATTTCAACTTTCTCTCGTTTTTCTTCATGGGTGGTCTTCTTCTTCTTCTTCGTCGCCGCGAAGAAGAAAGAAGAGAACGAAAAAAACAAATAAATCTTGAAACGAAAGAAATTAGATGACACTGTGTGTAAAAGTGCAAAAGATTTTTGGTGGCAGTTGGAAGGAGAGGAGATAAATGGGTCTCGACTGAAAAATTGCGGCCGTCCGTGAGAAGAATGTCTACTGTACAGATAAGTCTCTATCTATTTCTATTTCTATTTCTCTCTGAAATTCTAACCCGAGTAAGTACTATATCAGTTCATTCAATTGTTACAATAGCACTTCTTCATCTTCTCATCTCATGTCATTTCATTTCTCTAAATCTCTTCCACTTCCTATACTATTTCTATTGTTTCATTATCAGTGTCTGTCTTTTTTTTTGTTTTCTTCATTAAATATTTTCACAATTCATTCTGATCAGCTGTTTCAAACGGATTATTGATTTTTTGTCTTCCGATTTATTTGCCTTGAAATCAATCTCCACGTGGTTTGATTTATTTTCTCAAAAAAATTCCCACAAATAAAACAAGCTTTTGCATTTGATATTTTATGTTTTGTTATATTCTAGCTACAGTACTCTGTAGACTTTTACAACGTGAATTGTTTTGTGAATAATCGTTATCGCATAATTTATTGGTTTTACAACAAACAATAAATACAATTAGTGGTTTTGTGTAAACTGCACATTTTTTGCAAAAAAAAATCACTCGCACTTATTTTTTTATTTCTCTCCTCCCATTGCTCTTTCGATTTCTATTAAAATTCATTATACCATATTTTTGGGATGAGAAATCAGCCAAAAAAGTGGGCGTTCCTCCCGGCCCGGCTCCGCCCACAAATTCTCTTGGCCATCACCCAAAACTCTCCTCTTCTACACACTTTTTTTGTCAACGCGCTCGATTTTTTTTGCCGCTGCCTGCCCGTTTCTTCTCTCGTAGGAAAAGGGGCGGTCCCTACCCGGACGGGCAAGTCTCCTTTGGGTTCACTTTTTTCTTTTAAGTTTGTTGAAAAAAAAAACGTTTGTTTTTCTTTGAAACTGGAAAACATGAAAAAAAAACAAAAAAAAAAGATTTTTTTTAATTGTTTTTTTCGCCTTGAGATATTTGTGAGTTTTTGATGTGTGCCTTTGAATACTACCGTAGTTGGCGTCTTAATTTTTTTCATTTCTTTTTTTTGTCTTCGAAGCTTCGCCACTAATGATGGTTTTTGCAGAAGAAGCACATGAATGATGATGACACAATCATCATCAACAAGCAGTCGAAGTTCAACTTCATCATCAACACCGTCCACATCTTCTGTTTTCTACTGTAACCCATCTTCTTCAATCGATGCAAAATTTATGGCAAATTTCAAGAATGTGACACTTTTCACCAATGATAATAATAACCAGGATTCTCTTGAAATGGCTGGATTGGTAATTATTTATTTTTAATAGAGAAATTTTTAGAAAATAATTTTGGAAATTTTCAGGGAATCAGTCATTTGAATCCGTGGCAACTGAATTCAACAATTTCTTGCACATCAAATGGATTTAATGGATCAGATTCATCTTCGGCACCACTTTCACCTAACTCGAATTCCACTTCACAAAGCAGAAATAACAATTTAATGATGCGAGTTCCTCGAGGTTGGTTTTTTTTATTGAATAAGCTTAGCCTATGCTAAAAAACCAGAGAAAAATAAAATAAAGAAGAACCCAAAGCAGTGAAAAATTAAATTAACCCCAATAAAGTGCACATGCCCTTTTTGCAGCAAAAAAAGAGGGTCCCAAATTAAAATCTGCTGCTTTTGTCTAGAATCGATATGAAAATTTGCTGTTTGCAACAAAAATATACCAATTAAAAGTGCAAATGCACTTTTTGCATCATCAAAACCGTTTCTCGTTCTCTTTTTCGCCGCGGTCTTTTTTTTTGTTTGTTTGTGTACAAATAAACAAATAAAAAACGCAACAAATCGAAGCGAAAAAAAGAGAAAAAGAGAGCAATTTAGAAAGAATGATGATCGAAATACAGTAGATATATATTCCATATTTTGCACGCTAAAAATAGTATGAAATTCTAAACTTTTGCTATTGTATATATATATTGTATATAATAAAAAATACAAAAGTGTTCCGTATTTTCAAAAAAATTCTCTCTTTCTCTTCTCATTTTTTGCTGCGAATTCGAATGCGAATAGTGCAAAAATATCGGATTACCACGGGTTTATTTCGACAAAAAACATGCATGTGATTTTTAATTTTTGTTGGCGATTTGAATTGTGAAATATGTGAAATAAATAATATGGAATAGAAAAGAACTGGGAGTATGTTTGAATGAGATAATTATTTCTAAAAAGATGTCAGAGCTCCCAAATCACGCGGAGATGAAGTTATGACTTGAAAGAAAACCTGGGACTTTTTTGATTGTTTGATTCTCATAAAAATGGAAACTTTAGTCCCATTCATTTCTCTCTCGAGATTCTAAGAACTTCAAAGCACGTCTTTCAGTTCTCAATTAAACCCCTTGTTTTTTGTTTTTGTTTCAAAAAAGGTCATAATCAAAATCAATCAATAATTTGTTGGTGTTTTATTTGTTCAACCGACTATTCTATTAAGTCATCATTATTTTCGAAAGAGAAGAAGATGAAGCCTTTTGTTTGGCAACCCAAAGTGCAACAATTATCGATTTGTGTTGGCCAAAATCCAAGATTTTGTTTTTTTCAGCACCCACAGTACTGCCACAACAACAGTTCGCTGGCGGATTTGCGGCCAATTCGGGGGGAATTCAAAGTTTTGGCGGGGCGCGTTTAGCTGGAGGACGGAATTCGACTGATTATCATCCCGGAATGAGAGGTTAGTGGGCGGGGAATATAATAAAAACTGTAATTTTTAAATGGGATGAAGAAAATGTTGTAGTTTGCAAAGTACTTTGTGATTGAACCCGGAACAAGTTTGTTATAATCTTTCTTTTATCCATCCAAATTCTATTTCGCAACTTTGTAGTAGTTTTTTCTTCCTTCCTATTTTTTCACTTTTTTCGTACCGCAAGAGCCTCTTGACCTTTCACTTCCCGCTCGCTCACAGACAAAAATTGTTGCAAAATAGTATTTTGTTGATTTGCTTTCGTTTTCCAGCAAACGAACGAATCAAATCAGAATTGACCTTTTATAAATAATAAATATTTATAGAGTAGCAAAGAAGACACACACAAAAAAAGTAGTGATAAGATAATGTGGGAGGCAGTCAGCAAAAATGTTGCGATATTTTTGGCCATAAAAGTTATGAGAGAAGGGGGAATACTGTGTGTACTTTTTTAGTACAAGTTTGAATTTTCTTGAAATATTGAGAAAAAGTGGTTGGAAATGAAAAAGAAAAGGGTTTTGAATTATAAAATTTGACTTTTTCTGTTCAATCTTTGTATTTGAAATTTGAATTTGTATATTTTAGAAGTTATGGGAGTCTAGAAAAACGTGTTAGTTCTGAAAGTTTAGTAGCCAGTTTGAATTTGGAAATATTCGAGAACTATGATTTCTGAGGTGTCAAGTTAACCCTAATGACTCTAAAAATGCATGCCCCGCACAGCTGATACTTCATCCAGTCATTCATATTTTTTGTCTTCTTGCAACCTGGTGGTACCAGGACGCCTGTCTATATCAATTCTTTCTTTTTTCTTGTTTCGTGCAAGTTCTCGAGAGAAGATAGTCGTTTTTTGTTTCCTTGTTGCAAAGGGATTGACTTGAAATGATCAAAAGTGCACTTTTTTGTGGTTCTCATCTCCGAAAACAAAAAAAGCCTTTTACACATGGCCAATAAAAAAATCATATTATATTTCATTGAATCGAATTGAATTGATTTTTTTATTATTAGTGAAATTGGCTAACATATTGTGATGATGAAAATTGAGCAAAAAACAATGAGTACGAATTGTTTTCTGATTCTCACTACAACCTCTGACGAAAATCCAAATGAAAAATTAGCTCATCTTTTTGCTCCGAGTTTTTCTCACACTGATTTCATTAATCAAACACAACTGTTGTCAACCCCGAAATTCTCCTCTGCTAACACGTGTTTTTTTCGAACTTCAGGGAGACAGCTCTTTTTTCTTTCCTCCCAAAACTCTTCTATATAGTTTTTTTCGAGCACAAAAGTGCACCAGTTTTTTGCGAATGTTTGTTCGTTTTCTTCGACGACGAAGGAGGAACGCACAAATACACTTGACGAAGACAAAAAAAATGGAGAAGAATTGACGGACAAAATGTTGCCAAATTATAGAATGGAAATGGGAAAAATCAATTGATTGTGAAAATTTCATCAGAAGTTCTAGTTGGGTTCATGAAGTATAACCTAGTTTGAAGATTTCTGAAGTTCGGATCTGAAAAGCTAAATATATTTTTGGAGTAAAAAATGAAAGGTACCTTGAATGAAGTTTAATTCGAGGAGGACTGAAATTTTTATGAATTTATTTTTAAGAATGTCAAGATTCTAAAGGCCTCAAAATCTCACGCTCAGACAAGTTTGGAGTTCAAGCAGAAAATCATGGCTCTAAAATTGTTCTTGAAACTCCTCGATGTTTATTCGTTCTTTTACCAATGTCCAAAAGAGCAATCGAATTTTACCGCTTTTCCCACACGTAAAATGTTGAGAACACAAAAGAGAAATATTCTCACATATTAAAATATTTATTCATTCATTCATTGTTGTAAAATTCTGTTTTATTTTCCTTCTTTTTCTTCTGCTAACCATACACCGACAATATTATTATTGTCATAATAAAAAAATAAAAATCAGAATCAGAATATTCTCACATATTCATAATAAAATAATAAATTCGAAGTTTTGATAAAAATGAATAAGAATTCACACTTTTCTTCGCAATTTGATCGATTACCGACAGAAAAAAAAATGAAGATTTTATCGAATTGCGCGTTTGCCTGAAATGAAAACGAGTTTTTTTGGGTGATTTGTCGCAAGTTTTCGATTGAAAATAGAGTTTTCTAGCCTCCCTACAGTAGTCTGAACTTATAATGGCTCTTTGTTCTGAAAATGCGCGAAAAACGAGTTTTAGGAACGTAGCGCAGCGGTAGGTAACCTTTTAATGGGATTGTTTTTTGAGTGAGCGAGCGAGCGGAAGAGAAAAGTTGAGTGAAGTGATCTGGAAAATTGATAGGAGGTACTGTAGACAGATAGATAGTGTGAAAATTGGAGAAATGAAAAGTTGCAGTCCAAATTCTCAATTCTGAATTTTGAAGAATCTGCACCTTGAGAATTTATATACCAAATAGCCGATCCTAGAAATGTTATTTTTCAAGCGCCTAAAGAACCTAATGTCTAGAACCCACTTCTAGAGTTCCATTCTAACAAGGGCCCGCGTCTCGAGAACTTCAATGTCAAGTAGACAAATCTGGAAAGCCTAGTTGTAAGGCCTAGAAACACAACTCGGCCACATATAATGTTTATCAAAAAAATTTCGCGCGCTACAGTACCCCCGCCCCCCTTCGAAATTACTCTACTCTCTCACTTTCTCTCCCTTTAAATAATTGCCCAAATAATATATCTCTGGGTAATTTATAAGCTTACTGTAGCATATGGCGAAACAAAACTAAGAAGAAGAAGAAGACAAAGTTGTGTTTTTTTCGGGGGTCGCGCGCGGAGGCAGTGTACTTTTATTCGACACAATAGTCATAAATTATTATGGTCGAAAAACGAAGAAAAAACACAGGAAAAATGCAACAAATTAGGCGAACTTTCAAAGGGGGAAATACATACTTTGATGAATTCAAAATCAGAATAAATGTTTTTTTTTATTTTCAGATCTGACATATTGGCTGAAAAAACTGCGACTTCACAAATATACGCCGATTTTTGAAAAGCTGACATATTCTGAAATGTTGGCCCTAAATTCGGAAAGCTTGGAAAAGTTGAAAGTAACGACTGGAGCCAGAAAGAAGATTATTCAATCGATTGAAAAATTGAGAGATCGACCAAAGTTTTTGAAAAATTTGGAGCAAGGTTTAATCCAACGCGAAAAATGTCTTCGATGCGCAATTTGCACAATTCGACAAATGCTTTGGTGTCCATTTATTCGATATGAATCAAATTCTGGAATGACTGGAAATCAAAAACGGCAAATTGTTGATGGATTCAATATTCCGATACATTTAATCGATGATAATAATATTCCTGCTTTATTATATCGAATTGTTGAATTGCTTAATTCGATCATTTTTCCGATTACGCCAAAAGTTTCCGATTTGGAAGATGAATATTTGCTGACAATGTTCCAGATTTTTGACAGTATTACCAAAAATGATGTGAGTTTTTTGAAAGGGATTTTTGGGTATAATAGAAATAGTAGGAATTTTTCCTGATTTTCAATATTTCGCTCAAAAATTTTTGAAGTCTAATGAAATATAATTTTCATGAAAATCTCTGAAATTAATTCTGGACTGATCTAGTCTAAAATTTCTTCAAAACCTTCCTAATTGTTTTAAATCTTATCTGAATCTCTCTTTTTTTCCAGCAATTCACTTTAAATCAACAAAAACGAGTTGTAATAATGAAAAAGAATGCGAGAAATTATGCGAATCCGGAAGAAATGCGAAAACATCGAATGGGAATGTTATCAAGTCCACAATGTGAAAGATGTCATCATGAAGAAGTATTAGCACGTGAACGAGAAATTCAACGAAAAGAAAAAGCGGCTGAAGCTGAAGGATTCTATGAAATGGAAATCACTCGAAAATTATCATCAACAGAAAGTGTTCCACCAAGTCTTTTCAATTTTTCGTCAATTTGGCAACAACCTGAGATTTGTTCAAGGGCAAGTAGTATTTGGAATGGAGAAATGCCATCAACATCTGATTGTTTTAATGCACAAGTTCAACATTATCCTGAATATCGATCTGCTGTTCATTCAAATCAAAAAGAACAAGAACAAACTACACAACAACAACAAAAAGTCGATGAAGAAGAAGAAAAAGAAGAACCTGCTGCATTAGGATATCGAAATGTTATGGATCAATCTACTTTTGATTTTTTGGGAATTTTGAGAGATTCTATGGTTAGTTTGGAGAATTAAAGTTTTGTGCCAAACGTGGAACTTGCAAACTCACAATTTTGATGCCTTTTCAGTAAATTATTTATTCCAATTTCCACGTGAATTCTTTGCTCCAAAATATTTGAATTTTATGGAAAATATTCCATTTTTTGAATCTCAAACATTAATATTGGTTTTTTTGCAGCGAAAATCTCAAGCCCAACAAGATTCTCCTGGCCTCTCACAAAATAAGGCAAATTCGACCGGAAGTGGATATTTATCCTCTTCTGATAGTGAATCTTCTTCTCATCAAACAACACCAAATAATCTTGCGCCAATCCAGGATTCCCTACCATTTTCTCCCGCCAATTTCCCTCAATTTGATTCATTTATCAATTATTCCAATCCATTATTTGCCTATCAAAATACAAATTCTGCTTCTTCAATTTCATCGAAATTCATGTAGTCATTTCATGTTTCGTATAACTTTGTCATTTTTTATAATTTCTCGGTGTTTTTCTTACTTTTTACTCTGCTTTTCCTTCTCATTCTTACCATTTCTTTTCCAAAACAAAACATGACACAAATTCCCCCAAAATTGTAGAAAACTGCACAAATTCAAAACCGTAGCTGCCTCTTTTCAATTTTTTCACGATTTTTCGTTTTAGAAATTTCGTGGTTGGAAAACTAACAAAAACCATAGATCTTTCTTTATTTTTAGGATATTCAAATTTCTTGCCACATTTTATTTTCCCTTTTTTTTTGAACCCCGCACATGTCGTAGTTAGTTTACTATTTTATTTGCTCACTTTTTCAGCCCCTTTCCCCTCCCTATTTTTTTTTGTCTTCACTTGTCTGTATGTTGTGTTCCCATGTCCCGTCCAAATTTCCCCATTTTTGTATTACTTTCTGGTTTTTTCTTGAACATGACATTTTTTTCAAATTTCAATTGTGAACAAATTTTATTCCGTGCCTTGTCGATTTTTTTTGTGTTTTTTTATCATTTTTGCCCTGAAATTTCCAACTATGTTTTTAAACTTTCGCTAATAATGAAAATGTTGGAATTGTTAAAAATTGTTTTTTTTTAATTCACAGGAAAATTTAAAGAGTTTTTTTCTAAAAAAAAAGTTCATCCTAACAAAAATATACACGTAAATTGAAGTTAAAACTTATCAATTTCAAAAATTGTTTTTCTTCTTATTTTGAAGTTGGTTTCAAAATTTCATCGCGAAGTGTTTTTCCACCAAGAACCTGCAAAATATTCGACTGTTTATTTTTTTTTTGAAAATTAAAACGAACCTGTGCTCTGTCTGGAATATAACTTTTGAAATTGATGCCGACGTAAATTGGATAAGTCAAACCACAAACCGCGTAATAAGCTCTGAAAATTTTAAGTTTTTATTATTTGGACTTGGGATGAGACACGGGTAAAAACGGAATGTTTTCCAATAGGAAACCACTGCTGCAGATAAAATTCAACCCTAGCTCAAAACTGGTGGATTCGACAAAAATGGCAAGGTTACGGACGTTTTTATGGGTAGATTTTTTAAAAAATTATGAGAAACCGACAAAAAGTTTTAAAATTTCAAACTTTTCATTTTCATATACTTGATTATCAAAAATCAGTCTGCTACTATGAATTTACTAGAAATTCAAAGTTTATGAGTTTCAGAGCCAATTGTTTCCAATTGTTTCAGAGCCAATATTTTCTGAAAAGTTGTATTTTTAGACCCACAAAATTTTTGATTTACAAGCTTTTGTCGATAGGATTTTTTTCCTTGTTGATGAGGATAATTATCCACTTCAAAAATTGAAAAAAAAGTATGTTGAACAAACTGACCTCAAAAGAACCATTCTGGTTGGTTGTTCCAAATAATACCACGGTAAACTCATCTGAAACAAATATAAACATTTTTATTTGAAATTTTATCAATAATTTTTTAAAAAAATGCACCGAAAAAAACTTTCAAAAAAAAATTTAAATATATTTTTTTTTTAGATTCAAAGGAAACCTTCTGAACTCGCCGTCGACTTTTGAGCTCTAATTCTTTTTTTTCCGGTGTTTCTTGTAAGAAACAAAATATAAAACACGAAATTTAGAGGAATCTTTTCGTAATTTTAATTTCTCGGAAACAGAATTTCAAAATTTACAAGCCTGGTTTTATCGAGACCCATTGGGAATTGATTTTTAAAAGGTAAAAATTTTCTTATTTCAGTTCAATTCTTACTTCAAAATTACAAAAATATTTCAAATGGATTTCAAACCATTATTCTATCATTATCCTTTTTTTTTTCAAAATTTCAACAATTTATTTATTTTCCAGTACACCAAACATCAAAATAGGGAGGATTTTAAAAATAACAGTAAAAATCAACAAAACAAAAAACAAAGGAAAACAGGAATAAAAAACAATGATTATACTTTAGCTTTTTTGGCTGGTGGAGCAGATTCCGGTTTGACAGCAACTGAAACAGCGGCTCTTTTTGCTGCTTTTTTGGCGCGATTTGCAGTGATTTTCTTCTTTATAATCTTCGACTTCTTTCTATTTTCTCTCTTTTTCAAAACTTTCTTTGGATCGATTGTTGGAATCAAACTATCACGATCTGACCATTCGTCGTTTACTGAAAAAAAAATAATTTTGAAATGAAAATAATTTTTTTAAAGGAAGAAAACGTGAACTAAAACGTGGAATTTTAACAATCATTTTAAAATTAAACGAGCAGATTGATTCTTGGGATTCGAGCTCATTTTTTCCACGTCCTCATCATTTTTTTTTCAAAATAAGGAAAATAAACTTACTAGTTGGATACAACACAGCTTTATTTGTTTTCTCATCAATAACACGAATTCTTCCATTCTTTCTGATTGAAATCTTCAAACCATCCGGTAAAGTACTGCATTCATCAGTTATCTCTTTCTTCGATTTATTGTCAGCAGCACTTCCTGTTGGCAATTTGACATCAGAAGATGATCCTGAGAGAAAACATCATTTCACAGAATTAAAAATGAAAACAAACCTTCATCGGCGTAAATTGGAAGAGCTGGATTTCCACTGCTTGGTTGAATATAGATGTTTCGAACATTTTCGAAACCACCTGGGCATTTTGTGGAAATCTCTTCGATTGCTGTTTTGATGTTTTCGATGAGATCAGATGATGGTTGTCCAAGATGACCAACACCAACACAGCTGAAATTAATATTATATTCAAAATTTTGAAAAAAAATTGATTGACAATATCAGAATTTTCGAAAAACTCAGTCATCCGGTTTTTTGACATTCATTTGAGATTTTGAAATGTTTCCATACGTCGCATACCCCTGTTTCAAATCCGCCAGTGCATACCCCTATTTTTGAAAATTTTCGACGAAAGGGATAACCCCCCTTTCTTTTCATTTTTTTCTTCATTTCCAGCTATAGAAATCTGAAAATTACAATTTTATTGAGCTTAAGCTCAGACTTTGCATCAATGAGGCAAATAGTGAATTTTGAACTTGATTTAGGGGTAGCACGCCTTTATTAGACCCTTATCAACTATGCTCCACAATAAAATCTGAAGAATTAAGCCTGGTATCAAGATGGGACCACTATGTCATTTTTCACCTCTGTTATCAAAGAACACAGGGGTAAAAAGTCAGTAGGGGTATCTAAAGAATACCAATGAATATTAGACTTGAGTTAGGGGTAGCATGCCTTTATTAGACCCTTATCAACTATTCTCAACGATAAAATCTGAAGAATTAAGCCTGGTATCAAGATGGGACCACTATGTCATTTTTTCACATATCAACTGACAGTTAGTAACTGTAATATTTGCAAAAATTATGATTAAGCGACAATGTAGAGTTTTTCAAAATTAATGTGGATCATTGTGGTTGCACAATTTGATTTATTTAATGTCTCGTTTAACTAGCTAGATTTGATATGGTCTTTTTAAAACTAATCTCTTGGGTCTAATAAAGGCATGCTACCCCTAACTCAAGTCTAATATTCATTGGTATTCTTTAGATACCCCTACTGACTTTTTACCCCTGTGTTCTTTGATAACAGAGGTGAAAAATGACATAGTGGTCCCATCTTGATACCAGGCTTAATTCTTCAGATTTTATTGTGGAGCATAGTTGATAAGGGTCTAATAAAGGCGTGCTACCGCTAATTTAATTAGATATTTATGTGGAAACTTTTTTGAGGCTTAAATTGGTATCCCTATGGCAGAATATGTAGAGAAAATTATCATCAAAACTGAGAAAATTTCATAAAATTTTTTATCTCAAGTGACAACCCCTCCAAAATTTAGTGTGAGGGATAACCCCTCCACGGGTCGATTACCCCTGGCATGCGACGTATGAATGTTTCATTATTTTCATTTTTCAAAACTCACGCTCTTGTCAAAAATCTAGCCAATGGATAAGTAACTGTGGTCAATGCGTTTGAAATCGAAGTTGACAATGGTTTATTGTATTTGAATGGACGTGGTACTTTATTGACACGCCAGAATTCTTTTCCAAGGAAACTTCTAACTGATTTGTAAACTCTAGAATCAGCCAAAAATACATCATAAGAAGAAGCGAGATTGCGTTGATCTTTGTATGTATGAGCAATTCTTTCAACTTCTCTTTTTGTCAAGATTTTTGAATAATGTTGACTTGTGATTCCATGATCAACTTCCAATTTTTCCGCCCATTCACGTGATTGTTTTTCGACGTCGAAATCAACGCGAGCTTTGTCAGATTGATCCAAATCAGGAAGAATAAGGCAAATCGATGTGTTGTTGATGGTTTTTGATGAATGTGGAAGTTTACTAAAAATTAAACAGTTTACAATTAGATTTCCCAATACAAAACAATTCAAAAAACTAACATATTCAATTGTCCTCTTTCAGTAACAAGTGCTGGTTTTTTGTAAGAAACAACCAAATTCAAAGCATAATCAATATCTGGGAAAAGTGATTTCTCATTCTTTTCAGCGAAAAACTTTTTGAGAGCCGAAAGTGCAACTGGTGCTTGATCTTGTGCGTCAAGAATTCTTTGAGCTGAATCGAAGTTTTCATTTGTAGTTACTTTTGCGGCCTTCTTTCCAGCAGATGACAGAATTTCTTTAACATCTTCTTCCTCTTTCAATTCTTCTTTTTTAGCAAAAGTTGGTTCTCCAATAGTTTTTGTTACTGTAATTTCCTCGTCATCATCTTTCAAAACAACTGGAGATTTTGTCGCGGCTGCTGTTTTCTTTGGTGTTTTTGCAGGAGTCTTTGTTTCCGGAATAACAACATCAACTGGCACACTTCTTGTCTTTTTTGGGGTTTTTGCTGGTGTTTTCGGTGCAATAACTTCGACTGGTTCGTCTGGAATCACTTTGACAACCTTCTTGGTTGCTGGTGTTTTTGGTACAACTTTTGGTGTCACTGGTTCTCTTCCTGGTGTTGCGGCAGCTTTTTTCTGCTCGAGTTTTTGGTGATCTTGAAGGTGTTTTTGGTGCTGGTGTTTGCGCATTTGCTGAAACGCTTTTTCTGCCCATCTGAAATAAAACTTGAAATTAAGCTTCTGAAATGAATGTTTCAAATGAAAAATATAACATGGTTTTGAGAAACCATTTTCAAAATAATAAAAAACCACGAAAATCAAATCAGAGGAGATAAAAATTATTTTTACCGAATAAAAAACAAAAAAATCTACATTTATAATCCTCATCGTTCTCTAAAACTTTATTTACTTCAATGCAGCTTGGAGACCAAAACCTGGTGGCGGTGGGGGTTCTTTGAGTGAGGTAAGTTCGCCGAATGGTTCGGCTGCTAAACGGCCTGATCTTGGACCAGCTGCTGGCTTCTTTCCGGCTTTCAAATCATCCAAAATTTCGAGAACGTCCTGAAAAATTAGAAATTACTCAAATGCAGCATTATTTTCGAATAATGAAATGCTTCGAAATTTTTAGTCAAACAATAATTTTACAGCGTGAACCAGAAACATTCAATACACGTATTATTGGTTTTGATTACTAAATTTAATTTCAAATTTTTTTAAGGTGTAAAAAAAATGTAATGTCTTCGCGAGACTAGAAATCAAGTCTTACCTTTGGTGTAAGATCTTCGAAATAATCATCATTGATTTGAATCATTGGTGCATTTACACATGCTCCTAAACATTCAACTTCAGCCAAAGTGAAAAGTCCGTCTTTTGTTGTTTCTCCAGCATGAATGCCCAATTTCTTTTCAATAGTTTCAGTGATTGTTTCAGCACCTCTCAACATGCATGGAGTTGTTGCGCAGACTTGCAAAAAGTATTTTCCCATTGGTTGTCTGTTGTACATTGTGTAGAATGTGGCGACTTCATATGCTCTCATTCGTGGAACTTCCAAAATCCGCGCAACTTCGTGCATTGCAGAAATTGGCAACCAACCGTGTTGTCTTTGAGCTAAATCAAGCAATGGAAGAAGAGCTCCAGCTTTGTGACCTTCTGGATAAATTGCCAGGATTGATTCGACGCGTTTCTGGTTTTCAGCATCGAATTTGAACTTAACACTATTCAAATTGTTCTCTTTGGTGTCTCTGTGAACCATCAAACCAGTGGCACCGCCACGTTTCAACACCATTCCCGACACACGGGAGGCTTGAAGCATTATATTTGATGTCAATGACATCTTCGGAGAAATACCTGAAATCGAAAAACTACTAAAACAATGCTAAAAATTAGAAAACGAATGGAACAAATTGAGAAAATAATTATTGATCGAAAATTGTTAAAACAAAAATTACACGAATATTTTTGAGTTTCGCGATTTCTATACTTTTCAAATATGCTTGTCAACGTGGTGATAACGAAAAAATTACTTATAGGCCACGAAAGCCTGTGAAAAACGTGATAATAGGCTGCAAAAAAGAACGGACGCCTCTCGGGGACTAACCTTTTTCTATCGTTTCCTAGTCCCTGACTCTTGTAGATTTACGGTAAACAAAACACGCGCGGAGTATCGTTGTTTTACTTTTTTAAGCGTCTCCTCGCGATATTTCGAAACAATATTAGTCATGTCTGCGACTTCGTCAAAAAGTGAAAACTTTGGCAAAGCGACTTATTTGACTGGACGAGGTAAAAACAAAGTTTTGACATATATGAGCAAGAAGAGCAAAACGCTGGTCTATGAGTTTATGGTCGCTTCAAAATTCAAGGTAAAATAGTTAATTACATTCTAAATAAGTATAATTTTTACAGACTCCCGGATTGGTTTCTTGGAAATGTGTTAGTTGTGCAAAACTCAAGAATGATTATCGATCAATGGGTTCAAAATTGAACAAGAAGATTCCTTTGATTCTTGTCGATAACGACATTATAAAAGAGGATCCAGAACGACCATTGAATGCCGAACATTTTTGTACTGGAAAAGACATTATTGAAAGTGTCGTAAATCGTTCAAGACTAGAATTTCTTTCAAGACAAGAACCAATGGACAAAGCCACTTTACATAGCGAAGTTCTTGAATTTTCGAAAACTTTAGGAGAGCAAGGTCAATTTCCATTGAACCCGAAAGAGAAAAAGATGGTTCAGAGATATATAGTAGGAAATATACCAACATTATATGAAGGTGCTCAACGACGAAGAGATTTCAAAAGAGGAATTAGAAAGGAGTTTTTCTACGGATTTCCAAATCCAAATAAGAAGAAAAATGCGCATGGAACTCTTCTTTTGCCAGTTGCAACACGATCCGAGCCACCAAAATCTTCTCCAGAACCTCGAGTTTCTGAATTTGTAGAAGTATGTTATGAAGATGATGATGAACAAGGAACAAGTACTGGTGTATATTGTAAGTTTAAGTTGTATTTTCAAAATTCTATTTTTATGTGTAATGTTTTATTCCAGATACATCTGATGGTCCATCAACATCTGCTGAAGAATTAGTCGAAGAAATAATTGTAGAAGAAATTGAAGAAGTTATCGAAACTTGTGATCCTCCACCTCCCCTTTCTCCACAACAAAATGTTCATGGTGATATGGTTTATGGAGATATGCAACATGTTGCATATGATATCGAGTTAGGATAGATATAAATTAAATAATATTTTTTATATTTATTTTTTATCGGGTGGTTCAAAAAGTATTGATTTAATATCTTTTTTTGTTGTTTCAATGTTCGTTTTGGTTTTTTCAACCAATAATTACTTGACCTAAAACTCAGAATTTATACTTTTCAATTTCTAATATTTCAGGGTTATTAAAAATGAATCAAGATAATTTTAACATGGAGAATCGCGGAAATGGTAAGAAATTAATAACACTTTGAAATGTCATTTTTTTTATTTCTAGAAGCTGTTGATTTTGATTTCGGAATGGAAGCAGATGATGAAGCAAGCGAAATCACATTTTATGATTGTACGTTGAACACACCTCGGCCAAAATCGTGGTTTCCACAATAAAAAATTGTACGCTAACTTTTTACAGTACAAAAATTGTGAATTTTTCAGTTTTTGTCCTCTAAAATTTGTGATTTTTCAATTTTTGACCTCTAAAAACTGAAATTCAGATTTTTCCAAAAATTGTACTCTGGCCAGCCACGGCTTGGCCGAGGTGTGACGTTGAAAATACGGTTGATTAGATTCAATTAAAATAATAATTTTTAGCACAAGTTCAAGAACTTGCATGTGATGAAGAAATGAGTCAACTTGATTTGTCTGATCTTTCAATTCATGATAATGAAGATATCAATTTGGGAAATATGTCAGATGAAGAATCGGAAAAAAGAACATCATCTTCAACTTCTACACAAGGCACAAATACTCCTTCATTCACTGCAACATTTCCCGATAAACACTATTTTTGGATGAATGACGAGAAAACCATCAAATTTATCAGAGAAAATTTCTCACCTGCAAGTTTTTATATAATGCACAATGGAAAAATTGTGGAGGACTTTGAGGAATTTGTTGAAAATTATAAAGGGCAACACTTGGTTCGATTCACTTTTCATTATCGTTGTCGAGGCGGAAAAGGTGGATTTGGCTCACTTCTTCGATCATTTCGAGTTAACAAAAGTACAAATAAATTAATGATGAGAGATTTGAATGGAAGAAGATTGGCATCAGTGGATGAAGAAGGAAGATTGAAAAGATATTTAGAAAGACAAGCAAGAAAAGAGGAAGAATTGAGACAAAAAAGAAAGGCAAAATTGGAAAGATTGACAGCTGGACCACCAAAACATAAATTTGAAGATCAAGAATATTTACAAAAAAGAGAAGAAATCATCGAAAATACTGAAGATGCATGTGAAGCTGGATTTGCTTATTTGAAAGAATTGAAAAAGAAAGAAAAGAAATGTAAAAGTGGAGATGAAGAAAATGAAAAAGAAGTTGAATCGGATGGAGAAGATATTGATATTGATGATCTTTTTAATCAAAGAGGTGGAAGAAAAAGAAAAATTGAGGGACCAAATATGGAAGATGATGATAATGAAACTAACAAAAAAATGAGAAATGATGAATCGAGTGATAGTGAAGATGATTCAGATAATGAACCAGATCCAGAAGAATTAGCGGTATGTGTTTTTTATGATTAAAGAAATGTTAAAAATGTGTCTCGTTGACGTTTGATTAAATAGATAAATTCCACTACCAGAAGATTCATTAGAGTCCAAATTTTAGAATTCAATTATTTTCCTGGTCGGCCAGTGTTAGGAGTAGTGTCAATATGACATACACTAGAAGAACACTTATAACTATGCTTGCCCAAAGCTTTATAACAATCTTTGTTGGTTGTACATTTTGTTGCTTCTCCCAGAGCAACTCCAATAATAATAGCGAGAAGAATCCAAAACTTGATAATTCTTACAATTGAAATGAATGGAAATTTGTCATTTCGAGGCTTTTTTAAATGATTTTCGTGTGGGAGGAGACTGCTTAAATGTCTGCAAAATATTCAATTTTAATATTTATGTAGATTGAGATTCATTTATTAAATTGGTCCCCAGACCTAAGGTTTTTGGGAAATTTTCATATGAATTGGGCTCTGACATGTTTTCTGGTAATGAGTTACAAAAATTCAAAAATATAGGAAAACAATTTTCTTTTTTCGAAAGCGGGCAACACAATTCCAAATTGTTAAAGAAAAAGAAAAAATAAAAACAAATTTATGTACAAAAATCAAGTAATCCTGAAATTAATGTTTTCATCTGATTGTTTGAGAAAATTGGATTACAAGAGAAGCTAAGTATTTATGTCTAGTGTCATTTTTTTTTATATTTCAATTATAATTCATCCTCAAATCATATATTGTTGATATTTTTCGAATTCCCATTTACTTTCACAATTTGGATCAACACATTCATTTCCAAGTTCACAATCCACGTGTGCAATACTTTCATCTTGCGATAAAATAAAAGCAAAAAGATTGACAAAAATAAAGGCTAATATAGCTTTTATCATTTTTTTATCTCAAAAAAAAAGAGAAACTTTGCTTTTAATGTTCTCATTTGAAATTATGTCTAGAAATAATAAAGTCTGTGATTTAACACCATAAATAGATTTTATTGCAGGCGCTTCGACAATATTTCGAAAACAATCAAAAAGATCAAGAAGAGGAACAAGGAACTTCGAAACAACAAGAAGAAATAATTGAAGAGGAGCCGGAAAAACAAGAGGAAAAAGCTCCAGAAATTCCAAAAATCGATGAAGACATTCCAAAAATTGATGAAAAACAACCATGTGAATATGCTGCAGTTAATTTGGATGATTATGTTAGTGCGCAAGATTTGGAACTTCTTGGTTTGGAACATTTGAAAAGTGCATTGACTGGTAATTCTTTTTTTTGCATTCACAGAAGAAATCAACATTTTTTCTTCAGAGCGAGGATTGAAATGTGGTGGAAGTCTTTGTGAGAGAGCTCAACGATTATGGTCTATCAAAGGTATTGAGCCAGCTGAATGGCCAACATCAATTCTTACCCCAGAAATGAAGAAATCTCTAGCTAGCGCATGTGCTGAAAAGAATTCCAAAAAGAAGCAGAAGAAATCGAAAAAATGAAATTCATCTTCAAAATCATAAAACAGACCGGATAAATATTTAAATAAATAAAAGTTTGTCGTTTTCTTTTGTTTTTTACAAATACAATTCTTCGGGTGCTCCTTCTTTCTTGCGATACAAAACATTTTCTTTCGATTTTTGGAAATCTTCCATTGTGACACGCATACGACGTTCACGCAATGCCAATAAACCAGCTTCAGTGCACATTGCCTGAAATAGACGAGTTAGGATAATTTATCAGTGAAACTGTTGTTTTACCTTGATATCAGCACCACTCAATTCATCTTTTGCTGTAATGAATTCTTCCAAATTGACTTCTTCGCCAAGTGTCATTCGAGATGTATGAATCTGCAATTTTTCAAAATTGAAATCAATTGTATGAAGTTTTCTATGAACCTGGAAAATTCTTCTTTTTGTTTTCTCATCAGGCAATGGGAATTCAATTTTGCGATCAATACGACCAGGACGAATCAAAGCGGGATCAAGTGATTCGATACGATTTGTGGCCATCAAAACTTTGACATCTCCACGCGAATCGAAACCATCAAGTTGATTCAAAAGTTCAAGCATTGTACGTTGAATTTCACGTTCTCCACCAGAATTCGAATCGTAACGTTTAGTTCCGACAGCGTCGATTTCATCGATGAAAACGATTGACTAAAAATACTTTTTTTCTGCGAAATAGTTTTAAAAGCGATTTCTTACCGGCGCATTCTCCTCAGCAACTCTGAAAAGTTCTCTGACCATTTTTGGTCCATCTCCCAAATATTTTTGGATCAATTCTGAACCAACAATTCTCAAGAAAGTGGCCGATGTCTGATTGGCGACGGCTTTTGCCAAGAGTGTTTTTCCGGTTCCTGGGCAACCATACAAAATGACACCTTTTGGTGGACGAATTCCCATTTCTTCGTAATATTCAGGGTGAGTAAGAGGAAGTTCGACAGCCTCTTTGATTTCTTGAATTTGTTGATCGAGTCCTCCGACATCGGCATATGTTTCCTGTGGAGCTTTTTCGAGTTTCATCACCGAAACCATTGGATCGGTATCATCGGAAAGAACACCAATAACCGCATGATTTTTGTGGTTTAGTAAAACAGAACATCCTGGTTCAAGTTGTTCTTTGTCGACAAATGACATAATGTTCACATAGTGTTCGCTTCCAACATTCTGAAAAAAATTAATTCTTTCACGAAAAAAATCTTTGAACAACTTACAGTTGAGACGATCGCATGTTGATCATCAATAATTTCTTCCAAAGAACCAACAGCCATTGGTGTTCCACGCAATTCGTCGACTTTAGTTCTTTCTTCTTCTTGTCTTTCTTCTTGTGGTTTCAAACGTTCTTGATTCTGAATGAATTCTTGTTCCATCAAAAGATAATCCTTGATTCTTTCATTTTTCAACAACTTCAGACGACATCTTGCGTGTGGAGTTACACCTGGAAGTTTGCTAGCCGCATCAGGTCCTTTTGATCCCTTCTTCTTTTTCCCGATGCGAGATGGAATTGGTGCCTCATACTTCTTTTTCTCTTTTTTGTCACCGTCTCCTGCTCCACGGTCATTTCCTTTTCCACCAAAACCTCCAGACTGTTGTTGTCCCATTATTGGCTAAAAATTTCTATTTTAGATATTCAGTTCTGGAACGAAAACACTCACTACAAAACGAAAACGAAAAAATGAGAAAAATTGAAAATGGTGACAATCAAAACGCGCTCTATCGCACACGTTCAGCAGCGCGCGTTTGCCCACTTGGCACGCTGCCCAAAAATTATCGATTCTGATTTTTTGGTTCGTTCCAAATTTGTGCATCTTTTCGGTCTGAAAATGATGCAATACATGCTTCTGTTCAGCCGACAAGGCAAACTGAGACTTCAGAAATGGTACACCGCATATCCAGATAAGGTTAATTAAACGTTTTCTGTAATTATGAAATATTTATGTGAATTTCAGCAAAAGAAGAAAATTTGTCGCGAATTAATCACTCAAATTTTGTCACGCAAACCCAAAATGTGCGCATTTTTGGAGTATAAAGATTTGAAAGTTGTCTACAAACGGTGAGTTAAATTTTTATTTTATAGAATTTTTGAATTTGAGAAATAATGTTCTTATAGATATGCTTCTCTCTACTTCTGTTGTGCAATTGAACAAAACGACAACGAGCTAATCACTTTAGAAGTTATTCATCGATATGTCGAATTGCTTGACAAGTATTTTGGAAGTGTAAGTTATTTTCTACTTATCGTGTTTTATATTGAATATTTCAAAAATATGATATTCAGGTTTGCGAACTCGACATCATTTTCAATTTCGAGAAAGCCTACTTCATTTTGGACGAATTTCTTCTTGCCGGAGAAATTCAGGAAACAAGTAAAAAACAAGTTTTGAAAGCGATAGCTGCTCAAGATTTGATTCAAGAAGAAGAAACTCCACAGGGATTTTTCGAGGATCACGGATTGGGATAATTATCATAATATATCACTATTCAATAATTGGAAAATGTTTTGTTTATTTATTAATGTATCTATTTATTTTATGTAATGTGATAAGTTTTTAATCGAAAGGTCGAATTTAATTGTGAATGAAATAATGGTTGTGTACTACAAGAAAATGCATTTTTCGAAAAGCTATCATCGAATAGTTTATCGAAAAAAAACCTCGTTTTCTTTAAATATTCATTTATCCATGCCACACCTCGTTCAAAATCGTTGTTCCCTAAGGTTAAAATTGAACTCCAACTTTTTAAAGTGTGAAAACAGAATTTTCAGATTTTGTGCCTCTATACTACTCGAATTCAGACATTTTTCAAAATTGTACTCTGGCCCACAACGGATTGGCCGAGGTATGATCCATGCGCTAGATTTAAAAACACTAATTAAAGGGTTGGTGCTTTCCTGGTGAAAAAATCGACTGCAAAAAGGCGTCACAGTGTTGTTTTCAAAGTTGTGTGCAAACACACACACGAAAATTCAAAAACAAGTTGTGCGCTAGAGCGCATTTACATGCTTTATTTCGTAGGTTTTAACTCGCTTGTGTTTTTGAGGAAAAACATGGGCTGAATTGATACTAGAATTTTTTCTAAAACTGGAACTTTCCAGGAGCACCTTATTCCTATCTAAACCAAACAAGATTTCCTGGCGGAGCACCAACCCTTTAACTACCTAAAATCGCGCTAGACCTCAAAATTTTCAGGTAGATCAGAAATATTTTTCTCTAAATCTCTCACTTTTTCGTTAAATTTCATAGATTTTTAGTCCCGCCCCTAATATTGTATCAGGTCTCAAAAAATGCGGGTAATTTTTTGGTAGTAATTTAAACGCTGTGTAAAAATCTGACATTCGGAGTGACTCCGAAACCACGATTTATTATTTTTATCCATAAAATCGCTTCGAACTCATCTTTATTTTTTTAATAGTGTTAAAATTTATTCGAACTCTTATTTTTTTTTTAACTAAAAATTTTAGTGAAAAGTGAACATTTTTCAATAAATTTCACATTACGGGATTTTAATGAGCGGGCGACTAGGGGCTGTTAGCCCCCAGGCGTAACAGTCTTCTTATTATTTCAGTTGTTTTTAATCAAAAAAAGACTCGTGGCAAAATCATGAAGGCTTTCTAATTTTGCCATGGATGAAGTCATCAACTATTTTGTAAAAAAATTATTGAATCTCTTTTTTTATTTGCATAATTATACATGACCGTCTCCAAACAGAAATTTCGGTTCGGAGACATGATTTTTTCTCAATAATTTCATTTCTGGATGAAATTCTGAATGTTCTTGTTTTTTAACAATGTTAAAAATTTTCTTTCAATTTTTCTAGCTTCAAAGTTGGTTCTGGGTGGCTTACTAAGCCTGAGAGGAAGTGTCATTTAGGTCCCAACTCATCGACTTCATTTTTACATTTTTGGATTATTCCAAATCTGTTACTTTTTTCTTGACTGTATACACGAAAATAAAAATGTCAATTTTTGTCAGCTACCCGCCCAAATCGAAATTTTCATTCAGGCGGGTTTTTTTGTTAGCTACCCGAAAAAACTCGGGCCGATTTTTTTTTTGAAAAAACTCGGGCCGATTTTTTTATTTGAAAAAACTCGGGCCGATTTTTTTATTTGAAAAAACTCGGGCCGATTTTTTTATTTGAAAAAACTCGGGCCGATTTTTTATTTGAAAAAACTCGGGCCGATTTTTTTATTTGAAAAAACTCGGGCCGATTTTTTTTTTTTTTGAAAAAACTCGGGCCGATTTTTTTATTTGAAAAAACTCGGGCCGATTTTTTTATTTGAAAAAACTCGGGCCGATTTTTTTATTTGAAAAAACTCGGGCCGATTTTTTTTTTGAAAAATCTCGGGGCGATTTTTTTATTTGAAAAAACTCGGGCCGATTTTTTTATTTGAAAAAACTCGGGCCGATTTTTTTATTTGAAAAAACTCGGGCCGATTTTTTTTTTTTGAAAAAACTCGGGCCGATTTTTTTATTTGAAAAAACTCGGGCCGATTTTTTTATTTGAAAAAACTCGGGCCGATTTTTTTATTTGAAAAAACTCGGGCCGATTTTTTTATTTGAAAAACTCGGGCCGATTTTTTTGAAAAATCTCGGGGCGATTTTTTTTTTTGAAAAAACTCGGGCCGATTTTTTTATTTGAAAAAACTCGGGCCGATTTTTTTACTTGAAAAAACTCGGGGCGATTTTTTTATTTGAAAAAACTCGGGCCGATTTTTTTATTTGAAAAAACTCGGGCCGATTTTTTTATTTGAAAAAACTCGGGCCGATTTTTTATTTGAAAAAACTCGGGCCGATTTTTTTATTTGAAAAACTCGGGCCGATTTTTTTTTGAAAAATCTCGGGGCGATTTTTTTATTTGAAAAAACTCGGGCCGATTTTTTTATTTGAAAAAACTCGGGCCGATTTTTTTATTTGAAAAAACTCGGGCCGATTTTTTTATTTGAAAAAACTCGGGCCGATTTTTTTATTTGAAAAACTCGGGCCGATTTTTTTATTTGAAAAAACTCGGGCCGATTTTTTATTTGAAAAAACTCGGGCCGATTTTTTTATTTGAAAAAACTCGGGCCGATTTTTTTTTGAAAAATCTCGGGGCGATTTTTTTATTTGAAAAAACTCGGGCCGATTTTTTTATTTGAAAAAACTCGGGCCGATTTTTTTTATTTGAAAAAACTCGGGCCGATTTTTTTATTTGAAAAAACTCGGGCCGATTTTTTTATTTGAAAAAACTCGGGCCGATTTTTTTATTTGAAAAAACTCGGGCCGATTTTTTTATTTGAAAAAACTCGGGCCGATTTTTTTATTTGAAAAAACTCGGGCCGATTTTTTTATTTGAAAAAAACTCGGGCCGATTTTTTTTTGAAAAATCTCGGGGCGATTTTTTTTTTTTTGAAAAAACTCGGGCCGATTTTTTTATTTGAAAAAACTCGGGCCGATTTTTTTATTTGAAAAACTCGGGCCGATTTTTTTTTTTGAAAAAACTCGGGCCGATTTTTTTTTTGAAAAAACTCGAGCCGATTTTTTTAATAGTGTTAAAATTTATTCGAACTCTTATTTTTTTTTTGAACTAAAAAGTGAACATTTCTCAATAAATTTCACATTACGGGATTTTAATGAGCGGGCGAAATGAAAAAAATGTTTTCTTTTTTTCGAAATAGAAACGTGACACATATTTGTTATCTCAACGTGGAAATCTACACGTATACAGATAAGAACAGTATAAAAGGAGAGTCTGGGATTCATTAAAACCATCGAGTATCCAAAAATGGCTCAATCTGTCCCACCAGGAGATATCCAAACTCAACCAAATGCCAAAATCGTCTTCAATGCCCCATATGACGACAAACACACTTACCACATCAAGGTAATCAACTCGTCTGCTCGTCGTATTGGATACGGTATTAAGACAACCAACATGAAAAGATTGGGAGTTGATCCACCATGTGGAGTTTTGGACCCAAAAGAAGCTGTTCTTTTGGCCGTTTCATGTGATGCTTTCGCTTATGGACAAGAAGACACCAACAATGATCGTATCACTGTTGAATGGACCAATACTCCAGATGGTGCTGCAAAACAATTCCGTCGTGAATGGTTCCAAGGAGATGGTATGGTTCGCAGAAAGAATTTGCCAATCGAATACAATCCATAAACAATTTCTTTTCTTGTAAATAAACAGTGTTTTGAAAAATTTCTTATTTTGTTTGGGAACAAAACATTTGATTGTAGAAAGAGCTCTGGCAAAGACAAGTTTTGTTTGAGGAGTTATAATTTTTACTGTTTCTATAGAAAAAGAAGGTACGCAAAGTCCTGAAATTTTGCAATTTTCTTCATGTCTTGTTATGTTCAAAAACTAACAAAAAAGTGTAAAAAATTCCTATCGCTTCTCAGCACCACGCAAACCCTTGTTACACTTTTCTTCTCAGAGAAACACGGAAATTCAAATTTTTCAAATGTTTATTACACCCGCACGCAGGTGGTTTTCAAATTTTTTTAGGTGAAAATGAAGGAGAAAAAGAAAGCTTGATGTTGTACTGTAAATGACAATGACGAAAATGTACAGTTTAGAAGCATTTGCGGTGGACAATTGATGGGCCGGATTCGTCGTATTCTTGTTTCGAGATCCACATTTGTTGGAAGGTTGAGAGGGAAGCCAAGATTGATCCTCCGATCCAGACAGAGTATTTACGCTCTGGTGGGGCGATGATCTTGATCTTCATTGTGCTGAAAAAAGAAACAAATTAGAATAAGTTCGAAATTATTTTGAAAATTAATTAATTTACCTTGGAGCAAGAGCGGTGATTTCCTTTTGCATACGATCAGCAATTCCTGGGTACATGGTGGTACCTCCAGAAAGAACTGTGTTAGCATACAAATCCTTACGGATATCAATATCACACTTCATGATTGAGTTGTATGAAGTCTCGTGAATTCCAGCTGATTCCATACCCAAGAATGATGGCTGAAATTGATTTAGAGTTAGGAATGTTCAATTGTTTTTTTTTGAGAATTTAAATAAACTTACTTGGAAGAGGGCTTCTGGACAACGGAATCTTTCGTTTCCGACGGTGATGACTTGTCCGTCAGGAAGTTCATAAGATTTCTCAAGGGATGATGATGAAGCAGCAGTGGCCATTTCTTGTTCGAAGTCAAGGGCAACATAGCAGAGTTTTTCCTTGATATCACGGACAATTTCTCTTTCAGCGGTGGTGGTGAATGAGTAACCACGTTCGGTGAGGATCTTCATCAAGTAATCAGTCAAATCACGTCCAGCCAAATCAAGACGGAGGATAGCGTGTGGAAGAGCATAACCTTCGTAGATTGGGACAGTGTGGGTAACACCATCTCCGGAATCAAGAACAACTCCGGTGGTACGTCCGGAAGCGTAAAGCGAAAGGACGGCTTGGATGGCAACATACATGGCTGGGGTGTTGAAGGTTTCGAACATGATTTGGGTCATCTTTTCTCTGTTAGCCTTTGGGTTAAGTGGGGCTTCAGTGAGGAGAACTGGATGTTCTTCTGGAGCAACACGGAGCTCATTGTAGAAAGTGTGATGCCAGATCTTTTCCATATCATCCCAGTTGGTGACAATACCGTGTTCAATTGGGTATTTCAAGGTGAGGATACCTAAAATAATTCATAATCTTTTGTTTTCTGACCGAGAATTTCTAATTGTTTTACCTCTCTTGGATTGAGCTTCATCTCCAACATACGAGTCTTTTTGTCCCATACCAACCATGACTCCTTGATGACGTGGTCTTCCGACAATTGATGGGAAAACAGCACGTGGAGCATCGTCTCCGGCGAATCCAGCTTTGCACATACCGGATCCATTGTCAACTACAAGAGCGGCAACCTCGTCGTCACACATTTTGTTATAGTTTTTTAATTAACCTGAAAAATAGGATATTGAATAAGGATTTCAACTGGTATATAAAGAAACGAACGGTGAGGAGGAGAATGAATGATGACTAATATTTCTTATCAACCGGAAAATGAGAAATGGGCGGAGTTTGATTTTTTTTTTTTGATAAGAAAAAGAAATTATTGAAACAGTCTGAAAATATTTTCTAATATAGATCAGGATAGTGAACTTTTCCTAATGAAATCTAAAATATTTGCACTCTATAGTTGAAAATCTTAAAAATAGCAAAAAATCTCAAAGAGCAAAGAAATGAAGTTTGTTATGCTCTCGACGTTCATTTATATAGTGGGTAGTGGTTGCCAACAATTCTGCGTATTGCAATTTCTAACTACACATAAATGAGAGAGTATAAGATCCCGAGAGAGCCTCCTCCCGCCCGCCCGCCGCTCTTCTTCGTATTGCTTGGTCATAGCTCAACCCGCGCCCGCCCTCTCTTTCTCTCTCTCTCATTTTTCACACGAAAATCTTTAAGATTTTTGAATTGAAAACAAAGAGAGGATAAGTGCATGGTTGCACTGACCAATTTTTGACGGATTGGAATGAAAATATCGAAAACATTTTTGAGAAAAATATTGAAAAACACGTAAAGTAAATGGATAACTGGAAAATAGTTGTCGAAGTACTTATGTGAAACTATGTTGGGTGTTTAGAAAAAAAAGCTCGAAGCAGTCTTTTGGAAATTTTTTGTACGGTATTCATTATTTCTAATTTCTCAATACGAATAAGGAATCCATTATCTACTCAAAACAATCAGTTTATGCAAAGTGACTCAATGTTCCCTATTTTAATGCTTCTGTTCACACATGTGTGATAGATTTTCGCCATATGTGCTATTCCAAGTGGAGATTTCGTTTGTTTTATTATTATATAAAAATAATTCGAACCACTTAGGTTAGCACTTCTCAATGATATCTGATCTCTTCTTTTTCTTTTTCACTGTTGCCAGCTGTTAGAAGATGAAAAACACACACAACTTCTTGGTATTATATTATTTGTTGTGTTGAAAAATAAAAACGTGGGTTGAGGAAACGGATATGAATTTTTCACTTGCAGAAAGCAAAAAAAAACATCTGAAAAATCTGGGGGCCTTAGTATAAAAGTTCGAAATCCTGGCAGAAGATGCGTTAGAATAATTTACTTTTTGTGGCAACTCGCCAATTTTCTTGTTAGAAGCGATTATTTTCGGTATAGTAGACCGGTTTTGGTAAGAAGAGAACAAAATAATTGTTGTTTTTTTAAGTGCAGTCTGGCTAATCCAGAACATATGATTTTTTGTAAAAAAACGATCATCTTTAGGAAAAAAAGGGAAAACCAAAAACCCTCGAAAATGAAAGAAAATAGACTGCGCGACGAAAAACATGTTCGTATATTTATACCGAATTTGGGCCAACTGCCAAAAATTTGAAAATTTCGAAATATGCAAAGCATGCGTATTTCGAAATCCTGTTTTCACCCAAAACGGCTAGCTGAGTCATCATTTATTTTTCCCATTCCAAGAAGGGACCGCCCATTTTTCGCCCGTTTCAAATACGGCGACCCTATATCAAATATGACTGTATGTTTTTCCACCACATTAATGTTGCCGCCTTTCTTATTTTTATTTCCAATCTATTATTAGACTAGATGGAATGTTCTGATAAGAAGAGTTGCATTTTCACTTTTATCAAGCATTTCTATTTTCCTCCTAAAAATTGAATTTACATATATTCAAGTTTAAACTTTTTTGTCTCTCAACGCCATGAAAAACTACTGCGCAAATGTTAACAAAGTCCTTAACTTTTGAAAATAGTTAACTTACTAAATAGGAATTAGTCGCAAAGTTTGATCAAACACTGAAAAACAAACACGAACAAAAAAACAAAATGAAAATTTCGAAATTCGGCAATGATGACTCAACAGCATCAAACATGCTCTATCGCACTTCCCGCGCGGCCGCCATTTGAATGTGCGCGCGTCGCCCCGCCCACTTTCGCGTGTTTTCTATTCGTTTGCTTGCTGTCTTTTTTCTGTTTCTCTTCTCCTTTTCGGTTTCCGACATCTTTTTTATCAGTTTTTTCGCTATCAAAGATGTTCGAAACCTTATCTAGCGTTTATCTATTCTTCCGCTTTTTTGAAATCTTCTCTAAAATCAATAAATTTCTCAATTTTAGGCCATTCATCGAAATTGTTTATTTTGCTTCTGATTTCGTAATTTTATTTTCCAATTTCTATTTCTCTTTACAGTTTAATCCAAACCAATCAAATCAAAATGTGTGACGACGAGGTTGCCGCTCTTGTAGTTGACAATGGATCCGGTATGTGCAAAGCTGGATTCGCCGGAGACGATGCTCCACGTGCTGTTTTCCCATCAATTGTCGGAAGACCACGTCATCAAGGAGTCATGGTTGGTATGGGACAAAAAGACTCGTATGTTGGAGATGAAGCTCAATCCAAGAGAGGTATCCTCACCTTGAAATACCCAATCGAACACGGTATTGTTACTAACTGGGATGACATGGAGAAAATCTGGCATCACACTTTTTACAATGAGCTCCGTGTTGCTCCAGAAGAACATCCAGTTCTCCTCACTGAAGCTCCACTTAACCCAAAGGCTAACAGAGAAAAGATGACCCAAATCATGTTCGAAACCTTCAACACCCCAGCCATGTATGTTGCCATCCAAGCTGTTCTCTCCCTTTATGCTTCAGGACGTACCACTGGTATCGTTCTTGATTCCGGAGATGGTGTTACTCATACCGTTCCAATCTATGAAGGATATGCCCTTCCACATGCTATTCTCCGTCTTGATTTGGCTGGACGTGATCTCACCGACTACTTGATGAAGATTCTTACCGAACGCGGTTACTCATTCACTACTACTGCTGAACGTGAAATCGTTCGTGATATCAAGGAGAAATTGTGCTATGTTGCCCTTGACTTCGAACAAGAAATGGCCACTGCTGCTTCATCATCATCCCTTGAGAAATCTTATGAACTTCCTGACGGACAAGTCATCACCGTCGGAAACGAAAGATTCCGTTGTCCAGAAGCCCTCTTCCAAGTAAGTTCATTTAAAATTTTGAAACACAATTGAACATTCCTAAATCTAAATCAATTTCAGCCATCATTCTTGGGTATGGAATCAGCTGGAATTCACGAGACTTCATACAACTCAATCATGAAGTGTGATATTGATATCCGTAAGGATTTGTATGCTAACACAGTTCTTTCTGGAGGTACCACCATGTACCCAGGAATTGCTGATCGTATGCAAAAGGAAATCACCGCTCTTGCTCCAAGGTAAATTAATTAATTTTCAAAATAATTTCGAACTTATTCTAATTTGTTTCTTTTTTCAGCACAATGAAGATCAAGATCATCGCCCCACCAGAGCGTAAATACTCTGTCTGGATCGGAGGATCAATCTTGGCTTCCCTCTCAACCTTCCAACAAATGTGGATCTCGAAACAAGAATACGACGAATCCGGCCCATCAATTGTCCACCGCAAATGCTTCTAAACGCGCTGTTTTATCATTTCTTATTTTTATGTATTATTAAATGGAACATTTGGAAACGTCATTTGCCTTACGGATTTTCACAGCCCGATTTTTATTTATAAATGTGCTTTTGCATAATAAATATTTTTAAAAATTAAACCATTGTGAATTGTTTTGTATCCGGATATTTTCGTCACTTGTTCAAGTTGCATATCTAATTTCTCATTCTTGTTGACGGTTCATTGATTGCGCGATATCGCGAATGCGCAAATTGTGAATAGGAGGATAAATGTATCAACCTTGAATAATTTCAATATTTCCGACATTGCGCAATATTTTCGGAGATTGTAAATAATATCGAAAATATATAAGACGATGATTTGTCAATCCGATTATCCACAGAATATTTATGGATTAGAGGAAAATAAAGAGAGAACTTAGAATTGGGAATTAATCTCAACAATCATCAAGAAACAATTTTCTTGGAACGCGGTCTGAATATTTGACTACTTTCGAGTTATTACCACTTGTGTGAGCAAATAAAGTAGAGCATTACGTATTTATGATTTCGGGAGGAAAAAACGAGGAATGATCATTGAGACTGTATGTGTGGCCTTGTGAAAATTGGAAGAACAAAAAATGAGGGATTCGTTATCGAGACAAAATTGATTGATGATCGTTTTAGGGTGACATTTCCGGTAGATTTCAAAATTTCAGTAGACTCAAGGGGTTTTGATAATCTAGAAATGACATTTAAACTCATACATAAAATGGGTCCCCTGAATCGGGGTGAGGGGCTTAACTTTTTTCAAAAATCTGAAGGGAAGGGTGCCTAACTTGACCAATTTTCTGCTGATAATTTACCAAAATTCGCTCAAAAATGTGAGGCAGATGTTTAACTTTGGAAAATTTTCAAGGAGTGACCCTAACTTTAACAACTGACTCGGGGGACCTATTTTATGTATGTTTAAACTCCAAGGACCTTGAGAAACTCACAAACTTTACCTTTGCGACGAAGAATAATATAGATATTATCTATTTGAAAACATCATTTTTTCTCAAAAAAAAAGATGAGAAATGACAAAATTTATTAAAATTTGCGTGAAATTATTTTACTTGGCTTCTTTCCTGAAAATTGGCATTTCTCAATCCGTGAAAAATCTCTTGTCTACCTTTTAAATAATCAGGTCAGTTAAAATTGCTTCCAAATATTTTTATTCTGACTTGCGACTGTTTTGAATCGAACTTTTTTCCACCACGATGACCTTTTTTTCTGAATTTAATTGAATATCAGATAATTTTATTCTGAAAAATCTGATTCTGAAGAAGCATAATAAGATGTATACAACTTCATATATGAAGTTATTTGTCTTCCAGTGTTCTAATGTTTTTTCTTATTTCATAACATGAACGATTTCTAATTTTTGATAGCTCTCAGAAGTCCCCAGATATCTAAAAATTCACAAAAA